TAAGAAACTAGCCAAATTTATTAATGATTTATCAGAAATATTTTATGTTACTAAAAGGAAAAAATGTGTTTTCATAAATATGGGATATAGAGTCATTAAAGGTAACTCCATTAAATTTCCTCAATAATTTCTGGTCACATTTTTGCATTGTCTAAAATCAAATTAACATTTCCTCGCACTATAAAAAATAATAAAGACACATCATACTTCTCTGAAATGTCTGTTTCAATTATTTATTAATTTTAAATCATGAAAACAATTTTAAAAAAATCTAAATTTAAATTTCTATCTTGGTATTCTATGCAATATGCAAAGAATTTTGTCCTTCATACAGATTTTCATTACTTTTCTTCGGCCCACCAGCGGCCGAGTGGTAAAGTCAGTGAAAACTGGTAGTTCGGTCCGAGGTTCGAATCCCGCTAGCGGGCTGGCTGCATGGCCGTTTTCGGGGTTTTCCCCATGTGTAACGTGTATATGAGCCAGTTTCCCTTAGAAAGTCCTCTACGAAGGCCCTCCACTTACGCAGACATCCCTCCACTTACGCAGACAGCCCTCGTGTGGTCTGCCATAATTAAATACACCAACACCATTACTTTTCTTCCTTTTAATTTTGTTTAACTTACAAGTTGTAGCAACTGATAAATCTGAGTTTCAAATCTTCTCCCTCTAAAATTTGTAGGGTTTCCCTTATTTTGCATAACAAATTTATTTTAAGGTTGATACCTTTACTGAACTTCTCAACTTCCCCTCACATTTTCTCGCCAGCATGTAAATTTAAAGTTAAGTTGTAGGGATTTATATTTATTTAACTAACAAGTTAAAATTTAATTTTAAAAACTTTCCTAGAAGTCTTCATTCCCCTAATTGTCAGTGACAAAATAGTTAAATTTTGTAGCGCGCATAGAAGGAATGCAAATTTCTACTTTGAAGAAAGTATTTAAAAGCGGAGTTTCGGTAGGAAAAAAGAGAGAGTTAGGCTCTAGCCGCCACCCCTGCCGTAGATACGTTTGCTTATTGCTGGTTCAAGTGGCTTAAATTGCATTTATTTGCTGCCACTAGCTTCGAAGGGGGTTTAAGTTACGGGATCTCGCTGAGCCCTGTAGTCTAGTTCTATCGTTTGTTAAATATCTTCAAATTTTAGTTTCGTTACTTGATTTTCAGTTACCGCCCAAGCAGAGGCGAAGTTTTTTAGCGTCGATTTGACGCATTGTAAATTTTCAAAGATTGAATAAAGGGTACTTTAACCCTTCTCTTGTATAGTTTCCTGCTACCCCAGTTTTATTGCAGAAGTTTATCTACTGGACTCTACAAAGTGAAGTGAGTATTTAAACGGGTGAATCTCTGAGTTTATTCAGAGCGTGTTTTCGCTAGCCAGCTCATGTTTCGTTGCTATTTCGCGGTTACGCTGGTAAGACTCTCGGCCATTCCGGATTTTCATTATGCCTGTTAGTTTTTTTTTTTTTTTTTTTTTTTTTTTTTTTTTTTTTTGAATCAACCCGTTAGGCGTAATTTAACGTGCTAAACCCAGCACTATTTTAAATTTTGATTTGAATTATTCTACGTTTCAGTTACACCGCAAGTTGACGGTGCCATTGTAAAGCACGAATATCGTGTCTTTCTGTTAATTATTTGACTTAAATAAAGGGTTACTTTTCCTTCTTTTGTGCTGGTAATTTATTCACGCTTGTGCGAGAATTCACCAGGTTCATTGTAGGATCTAATTCAGTTTATGTAGAATATCAGAGACAGATCTTACAAATTAAACTAAATAATTTACACGAGTACACCAAACTATACCTTACATTTGCGAAATAATTCTTAATCACTTAGGTACTTCCTAGTCGACGTTTTTTACAGTTTATATGTCCGATATTTAGTCTCATAACCTTGCAACTTATAGAAAAGTATTGTCACACAATTTCTTTAATGCAGCATAAAATAACACCTTCAAAGTGTAACCCATGCTCGATCTGAGAACATCTGATTCTGGGTAGCAGTCACTGTTCAGTAAAGGATCAGTTTCAATTTCATCTAATTTAAATTATTTGAGCAGAAGCCTAATATCATTACTTACCAGTTATTCTTTCCCAATACCCCTTTAATACCTACTGAGCAAACACTTAAGATAAGTACCTGGAGTGTTTCGTCGGAAAAATACTCTATGAGAAGATAAGAGAAAAAGCCGAGGAAAGAAAAGAGAAATTCAAGAGAAAATATCAAATGCTGTGAAGATGATATGAATTATTTAAATTGAGAAATTAATTAGAAATGTTACTGAAATGAAGTCAAAACAGAACCCGAATATGTGCATAATGCAACAGATGAGCACAGTTATTACGCCGTGCATTATGACGAAAATCCGTATTATATTAAGAAAGCACAAAAGCATAACGCAGTGAGTTTGTATTAAATGTTTCAAAAGAGGAACCTGTAATGCGAGAAGTATTAAATTCTGTATCTTTGGTGCATATTCTTATTTTCCTGCTTTCTTAATTTTAGGCTTTCTGATGATCTGTTTTGGAGAGTAAACATAAACAGAACGTTTCAAATGTAGATCTAAAACACTGAATAGATCCTGGAACCCCCTGCAAAAGTGGTGAAGAAAAATGTGAGAGAGAGAGTGGAGAAAAATACCTCTGCTAACTGTAAAAATTCTCTTTTTATCTTGAAAATCAAAGTCCAGAATCAGGAATCTGTCTCAATACTTGTGTAATAAGCATTTTTAAAACCGTCTAGACGGTACAGTGGTTAGGGGAGCCTACTGAGGTACAGAAGAGCTGAGTTCGAGTCCCGAAGAAGCCATGGATGTTTGCAAATGTATAGCGACTTTGCGGCATGGGGGCACTCTAAATATATGAAGAACCGAAAGTTTTCTCGAGAGGTTGATGATAGGGAAAGAGGGGTGGGAGACCCGTCTTCCCGGGGTGCTCTTCATCAAAACTGGGAGAGGAACTGAGCGACTGTAATCAGTATGGTGTTCAAGGCTCTTGTCAACGACAGGCGCAATTTTGCCCTTCTTGTCACGATGAATTTCGTGGGCTTGATCTGATGTTACTGTCAGGCAAGTGAGATAAGTTACATCACACACAACATCATTTTTAAAACATAAGGCAAATTTATTCGGAAAATGCCCCTAAATCTACACTGTGGTGGTGGTGAAGACGTTAAAATTATAAATGTCTTTCTTCTGACTAGTCTCTAGAAGACGGTAAAATCACGGTAGCATCGATACGTGTTGAGAATTTCACGCGCATAATGATCTTCAGTCATTTAAAAGAAACAGAAAGTCACTTAAGTTTCTGAATTTTCTTTCTTCTTTTTTATAGTATATTGTATTTCTTTTCAAAAAGCATCAACAACCTTTGTGCAATTTAGGTTGGGGAAGTGAAACAACAAAAGTCGACAGTATATGTTGGAAAATTTACAAATATAACCCCATTTTTGTTTGACTTCTCCGACAGCCTTCATGTACTTAACATCAGCCTTGCTTTTTTGACCTTCTACATACAGTATCACATTAGATATTGCTAGCCCGGAAAATGACAGTATTCCTATTTTGAAATCTGTTTCCGATCACACATAACGCTTTTGCTGTCAAATTGAAAAATCCCAAATAAAATCTTTTCAAGTCGGAGACTACCTGCATTAATCTTGTTTTCGTAGAAAATCGCTATAAAAAACATTCCTCTTTATAATCCCTTAATACCTTATGCCTTTTGTAATCGTTAATGCCTGTAGTGTACATTAAATATTTAAAATAGTCATATATTTATTAACTGCTATAACTGCGCATTTCCTCGATTCTGAAACGCATCTTTATTAAGAAAAAAAAATCTAAAAAAACAATTTAGGGTCGAATACCTTTTCTAGTCTATACTGTGCCAATTATACCGTTAACCAACTTTTTTACTGTAATTTGACCTTCACTCAGCATGTAAGGGGTACATCAAAATTACATTTAAAAAAGTCTGAAAGGCTCAGATTTTAATGGTCATCCAAAAGGGCTCTTTTAAAGTTTGATATATTTTATCAACATAGATAAATCAGCTGGAAGAGCGGAACATTTTACAGAATAGTAGAGGAATATGTATATTTCGTATATTCATCATCTGTACATTTGAAAAAAGAAAAAAAGTACATATAATGTAATTCTGTAAAATGTATTTAATGGTTTTAATTAGATATATCATGATTAAATGTATTTTTATTTAAGTTAATCAGATTTAAAAGTAATAATCTTCTTAATAACTGTATCTGTTGCTTTTAAATAGCTCAGTTTGTTAATCCATTACAGACAGATTAAATTTGAAAGGTAAATAAATATATTATATTTTGCCGAATGGCAACAGACTCGAATGAAAAGTAGAAACTACGCGTTTACAGTAATTCACCGCAGAACCATATTCTGAGATTAATAGCCCTTTTTGGGCTAAAAAGAAAAAAAAATGAGTACAAGGGTATTGGCTGGAAACCTTTTGCTCTCACCTTTCAGAGAATAGAAAACATCTCTTTATCAGTATTAAAAAAATGGTTATCAATATCATGAAAACTAATCCAATTAAAAATTTTCTATCACAAAAGTTTTGAATGATTCTAAAGTATATACATATAATTATAAGATAATGAAAACAGACCATTTAGAATTTACAATATACTGGATTAGAATCTGACAATGATGTGTCCATGGCTGAGATGAATCAGATTACGGCAATGATTCGGAAGGAAGTGAGGAATAAAATACCAATTGATAAACTGATAAAACTCTTGCTAACAGATAAAAATATGATGATGCAAATGTTTGTTAGCTATATTTTAATCATTTGAAAATTTTTGTTCATTTTATTTTCTTAGGAATGTATGATTTTACATTGATGGTACCAAATTCTGAGACATACATTCCTGTTTTAGAATTGCAAAAGTACAGTGTTTAACAAATCTTAAAATTAGAAGATAAATCATGAATTCCAGTAAAATATGAAATGAAAACATATTGTACTTACTTTAGTCCAAGCAATTTCTTTCCACATGAAATAGCAAAATTAATGAAAATTATTTAATTAACAGAAAACTGTTGAGAAGCTTTCTCGCACATTTCATATTCACGAAAATTTCTCTTCTGTATATATCCCGCAAAATCGGCAGCCGAATTTTTTCGGTGAAGAAACAATTTCGTAATGAAGGTCAAGATCACACAGCGCCACCTACCTGAGAAATTTACTCCTAATGCAAACCTAGTTAATGATGGTTCTATTTTCGGTTTCTTATTTTACTTATTCGTATAAAATGCATGTTCTGTCCCACTTCCTTCGACACACCTGATGGAATATAAAGTACATCACTCCCTTCGTCATCGAACGACTGATATTCGAAAGATATCTTTTTAAATTACCTTCGAAGTGATCTTTTCAAGGATGAGTAGTAATCTGTAATCATCCAAGCAGGATGTGAAATAAGTGAAATGGTGAAAAGAAAATTTCAGCGGATATTTTCTTTTCAGTCAGAAAATTTGTTCTCATTCAGGATTTATGCATAGAATTAAACTCTCTCGGCAAGTTTTTTTTATTTTTATTTAATGGGTGTTGGAAACCCCTATACCGACAATCTTAAATTGGCCATTTTCGATGTATTCTCAAAATCTGCTGTAGATACAAGCTTGAAATTTTTTATGTAATTAAAGTATACCTATCTGATTATACTGAAATGAACTTTTGAAACATTTTGAATTTTAGAGTAATTTACAGAATATTTTGTTAGGCATAGTAAAATTTAGCTCTTTTCTCACACAAAAAACATTTTTTTAATTTTCCCCCCTAGTGTATCACAAAAAGCGCATTTCAGTAAACATTAGGAAACATAATAAATAAGCCATAAAAACTTTAGATACCCGTGAGCAGTAGTTCCAGAAAAAAGGTACATCAAGTATAAAAAAAATCACGTTTGGAGAAAAGCACGTTTTTATGTAAAGATCCTCATTTATGAAAGCATTCGATGACAAATTAAAACTAATTTTTTTAGAATTCTAATTTTCATAGAAATTAAAGAATAGTATTTTTAGAAAGCTAAAAATATAGAGAATTTGAAAAACGCAAAAATTCGAAATACCATTTTTTGAAGATTTTGGGGTTCCAACACCTCTTAAACGTGAAAGACATTTTATTAGGTGTAATGAATTTCATTCTGCAGAAAATCCAGTCAAAAGCGCAAAGTAGTTTTCAACCTAAAGGGCTCAAGATCTTGGATGTGGTACATTGCATCCATGTGGTAGAATTAGAATTCTCTGAAGGAGAATGCAAATTCTGCTCTAGCTTTCTGCTACGTAAGTACTTTAATGCTTAATCAATACAATAAACCAATAAATTTTAATAAATAGTTAATAAAGAGATCTTTAATCAATACATAAAGGCAAAATACTGCCTGCGTGCTTGTTATTCATTAAATAGCAGTTGACAAATCGATTCAAGGATCGTCAAACATCCGTTATTTCATCTTTTTCCTAAGCGTAGTCTAAAGTCTCCACAGAAAGACGATACCAATGAACTTCAGATGTCAATGAATTTTTATAATAATAGCACATAATTATCATAAACATCTCGCGGCCCACCAGAAGCCGAGCGGAAAAGTCGCTTAACACTGGTAGTTCGGTCCGAGGTTTGAATCCCGCGAACGGGCTGGCTGCATGGGCGTTTTCGTGGTTTTCCCCATGTGTAACGTGTATACGAGCCAGTTTCCCTTAGAAAGTCCTCCACAAAGGCAAAGCTCCCCTTAGGCAGATAGCCCTAGTGTGCTCTGCCATAATTAAATACACCAACACCACAAACATCTCGCATTTATGAGAACAAATGTGACACGAGCTAGAATAAGGCGAAATACTTTGACGACATAATCTTACAAATAGGAAAAAGCTATTCACACCGCAAAGACATTTTGAGGGATATTAAAAACGGATTTCAGTTAAAAAGAATAGCGACAGTTTAACTACCGATTAGAGACGGTCTCAACAGAACAATGAAATTCTGAGATAGTTTCCATTCTGTTTTCAATTATATAAGTTTTAAATGTATACAATAAAAGAAGCAATATTTAGCTTCGTTTAGAAGGTTTTTGACAATATTATTTGAATTATATAATTATTTTTTGGCAACAAACAAAGATTTGATAAATTTGTATTGATTCTCGTGTAACGGTTTCAAAATCAACGCAGTTTAGTTTTAACATGCTAAGTAGCTTGTGTGAATTTTTTTCAAGACTCGAGCAGTGAAAACTGCTAGAAGAAAACTTATATTTAAGCGAAAGAATTTCTTTGTTAATCAATTTATTATTGATATAATACCCTTTCTCTTTCCTTTATTTTGAGTATATTTAATTCTTTGACATTATTGTTTTCAATAAGCTAATCAACTAACTATTTATTTCGTAAGCAATAACATTTATTTTAGATAGTATACAATGCAACAGTTTTTCTAAATTTCTGAAATATGTCAAATTTCGAATGAGCCGAAATTTAATATGAGATTTGTCTTTGACTTTTTACGATATTAATACCAGTAATATTTTAATGTTACCGATAATATTGTAGATATATTAGGATTTTTGATGCTGAGAAACGTGAAAAATAAGCAATGCCCTCGCCAGAACTCGAACCTCATACGCTCCGAGTGTGCTACCACTACATCACAAAGGTTTGTTAAGAAGGCGGAAGAAATACTTTATGACAATAAAATCAACATTAGTTTAATGACAAATATTCCTTGACTCTATATTTCAAATTCATTTTCTTCTAAGCCATGAAACATAGCAATGTTTTCGAAACAGAAATTTTAAATTGCGCTATCAAATTTTCTTCCGAATTCAATTAATCAGTTAAATTTTGGTTTTTACTGTCTGTATCACAATTCCCCATAATGTGAAATGGAAAATTTCTGGTTGGAATTTTTCTGGTGTAGCTGCGCATGTCCAGAGATTATTCTGATTCACTTTGCTTTTTTATTTTGTGTTCAATGTTCTGTAAATTCGTGATGCTCTGAGTTTGGCTGCATTGAATAAATACTGTTTTTAATCAATTTTACGATAACTTCATGATAATTTTAACTTAGAAGCGACCACCATTCCCGATCACGAGAAAGAATGAGGTATGAATGTATTTCTGCTTAAGTCGTATCTTTTGTTTCGATTTAACACGCGTAAGATCTGGCGCCCGAACAGGAACACTGAATTTTAGTAAAAGAATGATTTTAATTGAAGTGAAATAGCTAACTACGGATAAAGTAATAAAAGTCAGAACACCACTCAGAGCAAATTTTACTAAAGCCGATATTAGACTAGATGAAACTTTAAAGGCTAAATCAATAAGTCAAGGAAAATGTGATGTAATTTTTTTTTGCTTTTAAACGCTAAGTTTATAGAGGCCACTAACCAAGCTATTTTAGACCAAGAGGTTCCCACCCTTATACCCGCGCGCCGGTCATTTAACGTCAGCCCGCCACACAATAAAAATATGTTCTATTGTGTGGCCGTGTGCAATCACAATAAAAATGTTTTAGTTTTCAATAAAATTCTATATGAAAGTTTTCTCATTTTTTATGAAATAACAATAATTTTTATATGTTCAGTTTTATATTTTTTATTAAATATTTTTGTACATTATGTACATGTATTATTAACTCTTTCCAACTATAAATTTACCTTGAAAACGTAAATGGTGCCCACCGTCCATCCTGTCCTCTGGACTTGTTCAACCATGTTTTTACTTTCAGGGAACACCGAGATCATGACAACTGGCAAAAAGCTTGCAATCAGTGCAGGCTACGCCCAGTATATAGAGGAAAATTAAATGAAATGGACCCCTTGTTTTAGATATTTTACAGAAAGATCTGCAAGCAGATCAAAATACGTTAGATGAAGAATGGGAGAAGATACATTCTTATCCTGACACATTATATGGTTGAAAATGAAAGTCGAAAGTTTGCGAAACGACCTAAATAATAGAATATCTAGTAGTGACTTTTATGTTCAAGTGGTAAATAAAAGGAGTGTTAAATTACCTAAAACGAAATTACAAAAATTTAATAGCTCGATAAAAGGGTAGACTGGTTTTTGGAGTTTGATTAAAATAATTCATGATGGCTCATGTTTATCAAATGAAGACAAATTCATATATATATATCTTAACGAAAGTCAGATTTGACAAGGTGTTTTTAGTCGTAGCACAACAAATTTATGGTCATTTAGGAATTGTATTCCCATTTACTTTGTTGCCCACATTGTTACAACAAGAGTGTTGAAAACAGAAGGCACCGTTTGCGAATTAAATTGAAATTTGACAAGGGGCACATTCTTTTGCAACACCACTTACCATCAAACTATAGACCCTCCAGTTACAATGAGCAAACTTTTAGCCATAGCATAACAAATTTATGATGATTTAGGAATCGTATGCCCATTTACGTTGTTGCCCGGATTATTACAACAAGAGTGTTGAGAACAGAAGGCATCGTGTGATGAAGAATTACTCGAAGCTGTTGCGAAGAAATTTTTAAATCGACAAAATCGAATAATACTTCTGAAAGATATTCGTATTCCCAGATGGATGACGAAGAGAACGTCTTTCGTGAAACTGCAGTTTTCATATATTTGATGATGCAAGTAAAAGCAATTATCTAGCTTGTATTTTAACCTGAATAAAAACCGAAGAGTTTGTGTCTTGCAGATTAGTTCGAGAATTAGTTACAGAATAATTCCACTAAACACATCCCATTTCCCAGGCATATTACATTGTTGTTTGTTTAGCTGCTAACGTTAAGAAAGAGACCAGATTTTAAATCCCACTATTGGACTGATTCTAGCAGATGCTTTAAATTGGCTCAAAAGAGATGCATACTCGACATCTTTTGTCACCAATATTAGAGTGCGGGAAATACGAGAGTTGTCTTCCCCTCATCATTGGCATCAAATTCCTGAAAATCTTAATTCAGCGTGTATTCGGTCTAGAGGAAATTGTGTTCGATATCTTAATGAAACAAGATCGTTACAAGGTCTAGAATGGCTAAAATCTCCAGTAGAAGAATGTCCAGAATCTCAAATAGTAGCTCATGAAGAAACTTTGAATCAAGAGAAAAGCGAGAGGGCCT